AGAGAGAGAGAGAGAGAGAGAGAGACAGAGACAGAGACAGAGACAGAGACAGAGAGAGAGAGAGACAGACAGACATACAGAGAAGACAGAGAGAGAGAGAGAGAGAAAGAGAAAGAGACAGAGACAGAGAGCGAGAGACAGAGAGGAACAGAGAGAGAACAGAGAGGATAGAGATAGAGAGGACATATATACAAAAGCTATAGAGGAAAAGAAAACACATTTTCGTTGACAAGTGACGCCCTTCAGACACTCAACAGATCATGCCTCCACAAACACTCCCAATGTGCACTTAAGGCACGTTTTCTTTCTTCCTACCTGTTTTGTTAATGTTTATAAGAGTGTCCCCAATCCAGACTCAAAAATAGAAATCGGTAGATTCCAGATAAAAGGGCGAGAAATTCTCACCAATAGAGCTAATTTATAAAGTTTATGCCGTCACAAACACACCATAATATGACGTTTATTGCTTGTTTTTTTAGTAGCTTTATTTTTTTTGTTTTTGCTTTTTTAACTTGCTTCGACGCGTGGGGTATTCTTGTTTCAAGAATAAAAAATTCCTGTCATGACCTAAATCTTGAGTATTTAAAGGGTGCCATTACAAAACACACTATATGCCAAATATGGGTATTTCTGAAGAAAAAAAAAAACCCGTCCATATTTTTAAGATGAGAAAGGTATTAAGGATTTTATGTTAAGCTCTGTATCCCTCAATATAATTTAGTATGATGAAAAAATACTACTAACCCCCCCCTCCCCCAATTACCACCAAAAACAAAACAAAAAATACAGAAAAACAAACAAACTTGAAACATTAGAAAAATGTATCTTTCATTCTTATGTGAAAGTCTAACCTGCCCTAACAGTCGCCTGTATAAAAGACAGTCATCTGTATCAGCAGCTAGCCCCCATTTCACCCCTTGCGTCTTCATCACAGCCTAATGGCACTTCCTAAGACGTTCACGTGTCTAAGACGTCCACTTTTCTCCGGGACAACGAGTGGCTGTCTTAGAGACAATAATTTGGACTGTACTTCCATTTTTTCTCATGTTTTAAAAAAAAGGATATAGTGCGTTTTGCCATTGAACCATTTACTTATTTTTCTGAGTTGTGTGGC